GGGGGGAAGAGACAGTGAAGAAACACCAGCCGGACCTTTTGTTTCCTTTGCCCTCCTCGGCTACTTTTCCTTGCGTGCTGTAGCTTCTCAGACAGTCAGCCCGGGGCAACATAATCAGCGTCTTGCTCCTGCTCAGCTATCATGGCAGGCTGGGTTGAGGTTGATTTAGTGCAATATATAAACCCAGACAACCTGGTTTGTAAACTAAGATACAGAGGCTTTCTTGAAAATTCAGAAAGGTGAAAGGCAAAGCCTTGCACCCAGGAAGTTGCAGGTGCAATCCTAAATACCTCCAGAGAGGAAAAACAACCTGTTACCTACTTGCTCAAGCTTTAAAACCTGCAATATTTGTATTAGATAAGCGTATAGAGAATTGTAATTGTTTATTGTTATCATGACATATAAACAGTGTTTTTTCCTCTTGGTTTTGTTTGTTTTTCGCTTTTTTGGCTTCTTTTTTTGCAATAAAAAATTTAGAATAAATAAATAAAAATCTGCAGGGGAGACCTTTCGGAAGGCACCCCTGCGGCCAAAGACCTGCCCCCCCACCTCTGCCCCATAGCAACCTATATTGCTCCAAGTAGGTAGCACGCTCGACATTTTAAAAAATCTGTAAGGATGCCATCCTTTCAGCAGGCTTCTAACCGGCCGCCCATCTTTGCAATAGTTTGAATTTACTCCTTTGCTTTTAATATTTTTGGAATTCTGCATTTATACTGCTGCTTGGCCGGCTTGAGAGCATCCCGCCCGCCGAGGAGAAAAGCAGGCCATCCATCAAAAAAGATTCTGAACAGGAAGCCTTAGCAAATCCCAGCTTTCAATATTCCTATTTTAATTTATTTTCTCGGCTTGGCCACCCTCCCTCTTTTGGGACGGCCGTCGAAAGATGACCAATAAAGGAAGGGGAGAAAATCTGCAGGGAAAGCAGGTCTGGGCGATGCAGAGCGAAGGTTTGAAAGAGCAAAAATGCAGAGCGAAAATGCAGGGTTTGTCAAAGGCGCTGTCTCTCTCCTTGGGCGAAAAGGGAGCCACACCAACTGAGAAAAGGAAACGCAGCCCTGTCTAGCATCCGCGTTTGCAACTCAGGATGAGTCATCGGGCGAGGAAGCGGTGAGTAACCCTTCGCCTTTTCAAACGCGGATGGCTGAGAAACGCTGCCTTTTTTGCACTGTCGCCGGCTAGGTGCAAAACGGGGTCCACGTCCTTCATGAAGGTTAGCCTTTTTTAAAACCAAAGCCCCCTGCTCAAAACCTAAAAAAAAGGGGGACTGGAAACTTTTTGCACGAAACAGAAAAAAGATGAACTTCCGATTTATGGTTTTGATGATTCAACAGGATAGATTATAGAAAGAAGAGAGTTATGTTGTAATCATAGTGTTTCTCAACTTCGGCTGCTTGAAGATGGGTGGACTTCAATTCCCAGAATTCCCCAGCATGGCTGGCCGGGGAATTCTTGGGGTTGAAGTGCACACAACTTCAAGCAGCCGAAGTTGAGAAACACTATGATTACAACATAACTCTCTTCTTTCTATAATCTATCCTGTTGAATCATCGAAACCATAAATCGGAAGTTCATCTTTTTTCTGTTTCGTGCAAAAAGTTTCCAGTCCCCCTTTTTTTTAGGTTTTGAGCAGGGGGCTTTGGTTTTAAAAAAGGCTAACCTT